AGAGAGAACGCACAAGCAGGGGGAGCAGCAGAGGGAGAGGGAGAAGGAGAAGCAGACTCCCTGCTGAGCAGGGAGCCCGATGTGGGGCTCCATCCCCGGACCCTGGGATCATGACATGAGCTGAAGGCAGACCCTTAACCGACTGAGTCACCCAGGCGCCCTCCCTAGACTTTTTTTTTTAAAGATTTTATTTATTTCACAGAGAGAGATAGCAAGAGCAGGAACACAAGCAGGGGGAGTGGGAGAGGGAGAAGCAGGCTTCCCGCTGAGCAGGAAGCCCGATGTGGGGCTCAATCCCAGGACCCTGGGGATCATGACCTGAGCCGAAGGCAGACGCTTAACAACCAAGCCACTCAGGTGCCCCCAGACTTTTTTTTAATGAGATTTTATTTATTCATTTTAGAGAGAGTGTGCATGTGCACATGCACAGGTGGGTAGGGGCAGTGGGGGGGGGGGAGAGAATCCCAAGCAGGCTCCACACCCAGAGTGGAGCCCGCCGGGGACTTGACTCACAACCCTGAGATCATGACCTGAGCTGAAACCAAGTTGGACGCTCAACCCACTGAGCCACCCAGGTGCCCCTTTCTGAGACTTTTTAAATGAAATTTTCTACACACAGAAAAGTTGAAACTAGCTGAGTTATATCGTATACCCTCCGTTGAGATCCATTCACTGATATTTTGCTGCGCTAACGTTTTTTTGTTGAGCCATTTGAAAGCTTGCAGTAAATTGCAGAGGGCACGATACTTCTTATAATAGGGATATTTTTCCTTATAACTACAATATTGTAACTAAGAATGTTATTTAGTATTTAGTCCTGTTCAGATTTTAGCTGTATATCATTTTTCACGTGTTTGTGGTCATACAGGTTCCTCCCACCCATGTTGAACCGTCTGTGACAACAGCTTTCAGACAACTTATTAGCAACCCAGACTTCAGCCCACACTGGACGTAGTTTGGCCATTAGCACTCCCCTGTACTTTTCTGGTAGTGGTCCAGGTGTGGAGACCTCTTTGGGACTTAACATCTTTGCTTAAACAGTTTTGGAGATTTATTTCCTTTTTATAAATAGCACTGTTTGATGATAACAGCTGGCCACAAATACTTTGATATGTAATTTCTGTTTATATCTGAAATGTGGAAGCGCTCATTTCTTACGCTTTCTGGAAATAGCATATAGTGGCATTGAATTTTGTGGCGCCCTCTTCCTTTATGGGAACAATCTACGTGTTTACTGTTGACATAGGAAATTCCCTCGGCAGTGCCCTTGCGGTCTGCCTGTGCTGCAGCCTGGTCCCTGTATGTCCCTCCTGGTGGCCGTGAGGTGTCTTGAGCAGAGGCGCGGGCAGTGGCGTGTGACGCACAGAGTGCGCCTTGGGACATTGCTTTTCTGTGAAACTGTTTGTGAGAGTCTCATCCCCTTTAAGATTATTATGGAGGGAGAATTTTGAGTTTGAACACTAAATTAATGACACATTATAAAGATTGTTTAGCAAAATTGCAAGCCTGGCCGTGTTTAGTAAAGGTGGATTTAGCAGAGGAAAATCCAGGATCTTTTCTTCTCCAACTTTTTATCATGAAAAGCTTCAAATTGAAATATGAGTTCAAAGAGCATTAGTACGCCCCTCACTTAGATTCAAGAATTAGTAGTTTGCAGTTTCATTTTATTGTGTGTATGTGTATCTCATTTTCTTTCCTGAACCATTTGAAATTCACTTGCAGTCTGCTTCTAGAAATCTCTGTATGTGTTTCCTGAGAGTGACCATATTTGGGTGTGCCACCCCAGCGTCACAAGTGTGTGTGAGGGGCCAGTGGTAATGCCACAGTGTCCTTGAATTTCTCTGCTGGTCTGCAGTGTCTTGAACGGCTTTCTCCTCCAGACCCTGCCCGCACTCAGGGCTCCTTTAGTCTCAGGCTGGAGCTGTACGTGGACGTTGGGGGAGTGGTGTCTGTTTGCCTTTTAGACACTTGTGTGTGGCTCTCGGGTCACCTGTGCTCACTGTAAACTGGGGATGAAGTGCAGAGGCTTGGGGAAGCCTTTCTGACAATGCTGTGTGAGCGATGGCATCCCCGGGGGCCATGAGGAGTGCCTGGCTCATGTGAGGGGCGCTGATTTTTGTGGCCCCGCAGCCGAAAGCCGCGTGGCGCTGTGGCTCTGTGGTGCCCTTGCCCTCGTGACGGCCGCGGTCTTCGGGCCTCTGCAAACCTAGGACTGCCTTTCTATGGCCCATGACAGCATTTTCTGTAATACTTGAACAAACTTTAGTAATTCCCACTCTCCTAGAAATAATGCGATTTTACAGTGTCAGCATTTACAGTTTTTTAAGAAAAATTTATCTTCACTTTGTCTTGTTGACTAAATTAACCACTTAATAGAGTAACTTAAGGTAAAAGTATGTTTAAAAAGTGTTTTTTGAACAAGTTAAGTTTTTCTCTTTCCAGTCAAAAGAGTGAGATTTGTTCTGGGGAAGTTTTTCGAAGCATCACATGGCAGCTGTAGGAACAGAGCAAAGCCAGGGGTGCGTTAGTCAGCACTGGGTCGTGTTTGCCACTTGCTCGGGCTCCCCCTTTTGTCTATGGACTCACAGGCATTGGTAAGATCGGGCAGTTGGAATATTAACTGCATCTCAAAAATGGGGAAGGACTTTGATCTCACATTTTGCATTCTTAGATTATTCAGTCTCTCACTGCAGCTCTTCCTCCAACCTGTGCCTTGCACTGTTTAAAAGTAGAACAGGCCTGACAGGTTCATCCCGGCCACCCGTGGTGACGTGGTGTGCAGTAGGAAGCATCACCGGGAAAAGGCCGCATACTTCAGGACCTCCGGAAGCTGGGTTTCTCATGTTACAGAACCAGTTTAGTTCACTAGGCTAGGATACATTGATACTTGTGCAGATTAGACTATTCCTCAGTCTTGGAGGCGGCTTTGTGTAGAGCACCAGGAGTCGGGAGATGTTCTCCAGTTGGGAGATGGTGCATTGTTTGTTGAGCGCCGCCGAGAAGGCTCTGGTGGGAAGGCAGGGGAGCGTGGAGGGCGCCGTCAGGTTCAGGTGGCGCGAGGGTGAGCTGTCCTCTCTCGTGCGGGGCTGTCCCCCTGGCAGATGGCAGCCTGCCTGCCCGTGGCACGGACTGCTGTTGCATGTTCACTTGAGGCGGGAGGTGAAAAACTGGTTGGCTATGCCTAATGGCATAAGCTGTGGGCACCGTAGGCAGGGAGTTGGGTCAGGGTTTTGCCACCAAGGTGACAGGACAAGAAGGGTAAGAAAATGGAGGACAGCAGGGGAGTACTGTCATGGTTGATGTCCGAAGAGTCAGAGCAGTTAGGAGGGCAGTTTAGTCCCTGAGGAAAACCACGGACAGTGCCGCAGGGGTGAGGCCACAGAGAGAGGTGATGGTTGCAGCAGGCAAGTGTGGGGTGAGAGTGGCCGGGTAAGGGAAGGGGGACGATCGGAGGCGGTTTGAGTTGAGGTGCTTGGAATGAGGGTTCTGGACGTGTGGTAGTCCTTGGTGATGAGAAGGTGCAGGGTGTGACCCTGGAGTTCAGAGGCGGGGGTGGGGAGCAGGTGGCTGGAAAGGAGGGTGTCAGAGACCTGAGGGGCAAGTTGCAGAGGCATTGTTGCTGAGAACGTGGTGAGAATGGTGGTGCAGAGGAGGAGAGTGGGCACGGGGTCCTCAGGCGGCCGGAGACCAAGATGTCCGGCCACACTGTGGCTGTGTGGCTGTGTGGGCAGCAGGGTGGGGAGGTGGGGGGTGGGACCCAGCGGCCTTCTGCCTTCTGGAAGGCAGGGCCCCGCAGGGCAGGGGAGTCGTGTGGATGAGTTGCTGAGGGAGGTGGCATGGCTGGTGCTGAACAGGGTCGGGGAGCGAGGCTCCGGTGGCTGTGGGTGGACTCGGGAGATGGGTGGCAGCCACGTGTCAGGCAGCCTCGGCCTGGGCTCCTCAGGCCTTGGACAGCGAGGCCACAGAGCACTGGAACCTCGCAGGGGAAGAGCTGCGTCCAGAAGAGGTGCTGCCCCTGGCTGAGGCTTGCACTGTCCTCCTCTTTCCTGAGCCCCAAACGGGGGGCACCCTGGATACTTACTGAATGCATGAGTTCTTAAGATCTGGTCATTTTTAAGTCTTATCTTCCTTGAATAATAAAAAGTTTTATATAGTTAAGAATTTTTATTGGTTAAATGGGTTCTTCTCTCCCCAACTAATTATGCTTTTTAATCATTCTATTTTGTTACATTTTTGTCTCAAGAAAATTAATCAGCACTGCTGTGAACACAGGCGGTGGTTGCATGAAGACTGACTATGCCCAGCCTAGAGCAGTCCTGGGTTCAGTGGGATTTGCAGCAGATATTTTCGTATTTTATGAGACTATGTGTTACATATATATTACTATGTGGACTGAAACTGGAATCAAATTTGGCTGAAAGGATAAACTACTTCCCTAAGATGACCTTACTTTTGCATGGGTGTGGGACTTACTGATCTTTTCCTCTGGTTTCTGGAAGCTTGGGAGCGGACAGGGCACCTCAGTCTTGTTGGCCGTGCTCCTTTCTCTTGCCCCGGCTGCTGGCCTGCTGACCTGGTGCCCAGCCGTGGTTCTGACCTGAACTTGGTTCCCGTGCTGCCCCCACTGCAGCCGTGCCTGGTACCCTTCCTTCCTGGGACCGCCGCCCCCATGGGCTGGGTCTTCGTGTCCCATTGAGGAGATACGGGCCATGGCAGGGTCCATCTTCACGGACACCCCGGCGTCTGCCCTTTACTGATGTTGGCGGCAGAATGAGTCCCGGGGTGCGTGGAGGCGGCAGACGCGGTGTGGTGTTCCCCGCGGCCTCCGGGAAGTCGTGCTGCCCTTGGCGCCCAGGTCTGCGGAAATAAGGCTAATTGCTTCTGGGCAAAGCACTCTATAGCTGATGTCGTGTTTAAAATTTTATGTTAGTTGGTGGCTCACTCGGGTAGTTTTGCTCTTATGATGATGCTCTAGTAACTGTTACTTCACTGTTTTACAGAGTCCTTATGATTTCACATGTTTTTGCTGAACTTGTAAAAGAGGCACTTGGATGATGGATTAACAGGAACACTGAGATTCTGTGAAAAGTTTCAAATCGGAGAGTATTCAATTTTCACCCTAGTCCGGCAGCTGTGCTGCTCACTTAAATACAGATGAATGAAGACCCCATTCGGGAAGACACCTGGCCAGCGGTCCAGAGCGGATGCAGGTAGGCGGTGCGGTCCCTGTGTCTTTTAGTAAGTGTGAAATGTTGCTAAAACCCAGGAATACTTTCGCATAGTTCCTAGTGGTTTGCTGTTCCCAAAGCTGTGTGCTTTCCTCTGCTCTGTACACATATGTGGGAAAAAACAGCTTCCTTTTTTGAAAGGCAGGGACCATGTTCATATTTTTTCTGTGGTCTTTAATCTTCTAGCAAGTTCCAGATGTCCATTAAATTTAGCAAGTGAATTGTAAACACCTACATAATGGGATTATAAAAAATGAAGGATTTATCATTTCTTTTTGAAAGAAGTGAAAGTGATTTGACTAGAGCAGTATGAGATTTAGGGTATTTATAGTGATTTTAAGGAAAAAAGCTTTTTGTATGTTTGTTTGAAAGAACTTTATTGGAATGAAATGGATAGAAATGAAATAAATATTTGATAGAAATTAATTCTTACTCTTGGGGCACACAGCTGATACAACTAGAATAGAGGGTTAGACTTTGCATGATCTTTACCCACCCCAGAAACCAAGGGAAAGTCTAACAGGCTACACTGTGAAATAGGTAAGTGGTATTTTCTTTAGGACTTAAGTTCCTCTCCATTCAGAAATACATTGAAATGTTGAAAAAAGTCTGTCATAGCATTTTAAGATTCTTTGATAAATGAATCTGAGAATTATGCTGGTAAAACTAATAATTCTACAGAAATGGTTGCTGTTTGATTTAGTACTGTTTTTTACATTTATTAAGATAGTATTTGGAATTCTTTGTAGAAGAGCCACAGGGATTCAGATTTTTAAGTACCGATTATCTCTATTTTAGCTCCTTTTCTGTAAAGATAATATTGATTTCACTGTTTAGGGTTTGTCAGAAGATTACTTTGGGCCAGGATGACAGACTGAAGCATAAGCCATCTGCGAGTGTGTTACCGAATCCCAGCCCTCTTGGCCGCAGACACAGGCACACCACACGTCTTCTCGAGCCTTGGCTTTTATTACCTGAAGAGGGCTGTGCTGAGCTTATTAGGAGGAATAAATGAGCTTGTGGGTTGGGCCTTAGCTAGGTGCCTGGCACATTATAGCTGTTCTACAAAAAAACATTGTTATCGTTGATCATACTATTTACGATAAAATATTTTTAATTTTATTTTGTTAATTGCAAAAATTGCTGTCAAGTTTTTTTTTTTTAAGATATTTATTTCAGAGAGAGAGAACAAGTGGTGGGGAGGGGCAGAGGGGGCGCACGCGAGAGAAGCAGACCCCCCGCTGAGCAGGGAGCCTGATGCTGGGCTTGATCCCAGGACCCCGGGATCATGACCTGAGCCGAAGGCAGATGCTTAACCGACTGTCGTTTTTTGTTGATCAGTGAAACCTCTCACGTTTGTCATTGGGAATAGTAATTCATTTTCCAGATTTCTTTTTATGCACACCATTCCAAATTCAGCACTCCTGTTTTCTTCATTGATTTTGAGTTCTTGTCATCAGGAGAGTGAGTGAGCAGATTACACTGATGTGTCATGTGGTATAAGTGCCCGAAGGATCTAAACCAAGAGATACTGTTGCTCTTAAGGGAGAGATTGTTAATCCCAGTCCATACTCTGATCTTATATTTTCTTCGTCCTCAACATTTCTGTAGAGCTAAAGACAAAGTGGGTACTCTGTAAGTTCTCGTTGGCCCATTGTTTGATACTTTAACACAAGACTGCGGAGTCACTTGTTTCCCACTGTTGTTTGATAGATCATATTTTGGAAAGATTGCTGATCCCTTGATCAGTATAGTTTATAAAATTGTCTTAAATCATTCTTCCTATAAACATAGACCAAGGCTCTTGTCAATTATGCATGTAATTGACAAATAAAGAAAATTCACCCAAAAGGGGGGGTTTCTTTTTCTCCTGCAAGGAGAAGCCTGGGTGGGCATTCCAGCATTGGTGCAGTGGCTCAGCTATGCCTGGAGAGAAAACTGAGGGACCTTTCTCCTCCTCCCTGGGCCTCTGGGGAGCTGGACTACCATGACAGCCCCCCAGCGCGAGTGTCTCCAGAGAAACAGGCACAGCTGTGAGGCCCTCCTGGCGGAGCCTGGAGCCTTGGGGCTCACACGGGCTGACGTGTGCTGCGTTGCCAGCCCAGGTTCAAGGGAGGGAATGTGTACTATGCTTGATGGGAGGAGGGTGAGGAATTTGAGGCCCTGCCTTAAAAGTGCCATAGTGGTAAATAGATCACTAGGTAGTCCCTAGTACTGGGTTCTATGTTTGACATAGAGCATGGGTAATCAGTAAAAACTTGAAAATTGAATGCTTGCATGCTCTTTATATATCTAGTTCCACATATTAGGCATTTCTATTTAAAATAACTTAGGTTTATTTATATAACTATGTTGGAATTAAATTGGTTACTAAAATAATAATTTATATACACCTAATGATAGACAGCAAGTCCTATTATATGGCACATTTTTCATGTGTTTTTTCCCCTAGAGTTAGCCTTCATTTTTACTGGTTTATCCAAGGTTGCAGTTTTTCTCTTTTTATGATATACTTTAATCGTACAGCCAGGTACAGGGAATAGTAGTAATACATATGCATGTGCCTAACACTCTGGCTTAGCAACTATTTTTGCTATATTCAAATATTTTTAAAACCTTGATTTTATTTTTATCAAATTAATAAAAATTCATTGTTGAAAATGTTTACAACAAAAAGCAGGCACTCTGTCCCTTCTGTTGTTTACCTTCACCATTTGTAAATAATACGAAGAGACAGATTTCTCTTGAATCTGACGGTGCTGAACCAAGGAGGGCAGTGCGATGACTTTCTCTCTTTTTTGTTTATTTGTTTTTCTTGGAGTTAAGTGATTTCTTAATTTTTTTTCTATTTGCTTAAATTTCTTTGCAGCTTGAAGTCTTTTGAACAGTCCTCACAGCTTTATAGACCTGTTAGTGTAACATGCCACATGGCAGACACCATAGCTGGCCCATCTGTCCGCGGTTCCTGGGGGACTCTCCTAGTGGTTTCGGCCCTGTTCTCTGAGCCGCGTCCTACAGCCCCACGGCCATCCTGTCATCCTTGGAACTCCTGTTTCCTGTCTGTAGCTGGATTCTCCTTGTTTCTCGTTGCCATGCCCTCCCCATTTCGGTGTGCACTCTTGCCTAGGAACAGCTTGTACAGCGTCAAGAAGCTTCCAGAGCAGACAGTGAATGAGTTGATGGTTAAAGTGACAAGTGCAGGGCCGCCTGGGTGACTCAGTCGGTTAAGTGTCTGCCTTTAGCTCCGGTTGTGATCCTGGGGTCCTGGGATCGAGCCCCTCGTCAGGCTCCCTGCTCAGTGGAAGGCCTGCTTCTCCCTCTCCTCTGCCCCATCCCTCCCCCACTCCCCGCCCCTGCCACTCATGCTCTCTCTCAAATAGATAAATAAAAATCTTTAAAGTGATAAGTGGAACGTATGGTCAGTAACATTCTCTACTTTTCTGCCCGTTTGAAATTGTCTCTAATACAGTTTCCAAAAGTGCACCTAGATGAGGTTTTTTGAAACCTTGCATCGATACTGTCTTCATTCTTTTCTCCTGCTCAGTCTTCAGTGGGGCAAAAGGTTCTAGGTTGGAAATAACTTTTCATTCAGAATTCTCCAGGCATTGCTCCATTCCTTGTCTTTGAGACCCCAGTCTTGCTGTTTGGAGGAGTTGGATGCTGTTTCTGCACCTGGGTGTGTGTCCAGTGCTTTCACCCTCCCCCCTCAAAACTTCTGGGCTGGACTTTTCATGTGCTGGGAAACATGACAGTGAGTGGCTGAATGGGTCTTTTTCACTCGGTGCTTGGGCTTTTCAGTGGTAGGTCCGTCCTTCCACCGTGGGGAGTTCTGTGTTCCTTCTTTGGTGCTCATTTCCTTTTCTCCCTGGAATGCACACTGCTGGGACATCTGCTTCTTAGGCTGGTCTTTCTGTTTTTTCCCCCTAAACTTCTCCCATTACTCATTTCCATTTTCTCGTTCTTAGGAGGTTTACTGACTTTATTTTCCAACCTTTTAAGAAGATTTCTTAAGTGAGCATTTTGTTTCTTCTGTGAGCTCACTTTTTTTCATATTATTTCATAGGTGCAAGTAGCTTATACATCTGAGGCTATAAATTGTATTTTTAAAAAGACTTGTTTGAATTAGCTTGGCCCGTTAGGAGTGTTTTTGTGTCTATTTGCTTTTTAGTCAGTTTGTCTGGAGGATTTCTTTACATTTCCTGAGATCTGAGGTGGATCCTCCAGCTAGGCACAGAGGAGAGGTTTTCTGTACATTTCCTGAGATCTGAGGTGCACCCTCCAGAGAGGCACAGAGGAGAGGTTTTCTTCACATTTCCTGAGATCCGAGGTGGATCTTCCAAGGGCACAGAGAGGTTTTCTTTACATGTCCTGAGATCTGAGGTGGATCCTCCGGAGAGGCACAGAGGAGAGGTTTTCTTCACATTTCCTGAGATCCGAGGTGGACCCTCCAGAGAGGCACAGAGGAGAGGTTTTCTTCACATTTCCTGAGATCCGAGGTGGACCCTCCAGAGAGGCAAGAGGAGAGGTCTTCTTCACATTTCCTGAGATCCGAGGTGGACCCTCCAGAGAGGCACAGAGGAGAGGTTTTCTTCACATTTCCTGAGATCCGAGGTGGACCCTCCAGAGAGGCAAGAGGAGAGGTCTTCTTCACATTTCCTGAGATCCGAGGTGGATCTTCCAGGGGCACAGAGGAGAGGTTTTCTTCATATTTCCTGAGATCCGAAGTGGACCCTCCAGAGAGGCACAGAGGAGAGGTTTTCTTTACATTTCCTGAGATCCGAGGTGGACCCTCCAGAGAGGCACAGAAGAGAGGTTTTCTTCACATTTCCTGAGATCCGAGGTGGATCCCCCAGCGATGCACAGAGGAGTTGGTTGGAAGCTGCATGTGTAAGTGGCGCCTGGTGGACTTTAGTTAAATGATTGAGGCCTCCAAGGGTCAGTATTTTTGGGTGTTTTCTCTAAAGATGGATTTTCAGATTCCC